TATATATATATATATATATATTAGGGTGGTTTTTTTTTTTTTTTTTTTTTTTGAATTTGATATTGCGCACCCTCTTATTTGGTGAGGTTCAATAAAAAAAGTTCACTGATAAATTTTATTTCTAAACTGATGATGGGAAGTGGTCCACACCTGCTCTGTAAGCCCTTTAGAACCCCGTTTCTGACCAAAATGACATATTTTTAAAATGTATTAAAATCAATAAGTATCAGTGTTACATGCATTAGTTTCGTTTATTAGGGTTAAAAAAATTATAAGAATGTATATAGCAATGACATATTCCTAGACTCCACCCTAGGAACGCGAGGTCCCAGACCTGTTGTTAAAGCTCTTTTGAGATCCATTTTTGTCTAAAATAATATATATCTGAAATCTATTAAAATCAGCTTGTATTAGTGTTACATGCATCAGTTTTACTTATTAGGGTGATAACAATAAAAAGAATGTATCTAGCAGTGACAAATTCCCAGACCCCACCCTCAGGGCACTAGGACCCGGACATGTTTTTTAAGCCCATTTGAGGCCCGTTTTTGTTGACAATGATAATTTTCTGAAATGCATTAGAATAAACTATTGCTACATGCAATAATTTTACTTATTAGGGTGAAGACAAGTGTATGAATGTATGTAGCAGGGGTAACATGGGGCAAGGGTAAGAGGGGTAACTTGGGGCAAGGGTAAGAGGGGTAAAAATACAAAAAACTGTTATAACAACTTAAAAAAGATTCTTATTTTTTAACATTTCTTCAGTTTTTTTAATTGTGAGGACTAGTGGCCCATATGCCCCAAACTAGATACCCATTTGCCCCTCTACCAGTTATTTCTAAATCAGCCCTAATTCAAATTTATAAATTAAAAAATAACAAAAAATAATGTACTCAAACAAAAATTTTAAACGAATAAAAAATATGATTTTATGTGTTCAAGAAAACATATTACAACTAACAACATTTAAAATTATTCTAATAAAATAACATACATAATTTAATCAAACCTTGACATATAACTAAATTAAAATACAACAGAAAAACAATAGCTATATATGAACTTAACTATATATTTAGTTCATATTATATGAATGCATATTTGAATAGATTAAATTGCTGTTATTTAGAATGATTATGGCTTAACTGTCTCTTTGTAGCTTCAGTTGAAATTTTTTTTCTATGATACTCAACTACTTGGTAAAGAAGCTGACGCTGATTGTCATTTTTTGTCAAAACTTCATTAAAGTCAGTGGCTAATTTAACTGCCTGTTCTGCACAGTCATTAACCACTTTCATGGCACGAACAATCTTACAAGCAGCCTTGTAGTCATCACAATTAGCCCAAGATTTAGGAGACGATGTCAAGAATTCTTTTTGTAGATTGAGAGAGTCAAACAAATTCATTGAGCGTCGTGTAACAAATTTAGCTATAGAAAGTTTAGAGAATGTATAAATCTTGTTTAAAGCAAGCCTTCTATTGTCACCTGGTAATGGTTCTTTTTGTAAGGCAGTTACAATTTCCATTTTCTCTTCAAAAGAAATTTCTTCACTGAATAATGGGAGAGCAGCTAGATCTTCACTTAAATACCATAATTGAAGTTTAATTTTATTTTTTGCAACTTTGCTGTCAACTTGACAATAGTTCTCGATTACTATTAAAAGAAGGAGATCATTTTTTGGTGCTTCTGTTGTAAGAGGTGCTGAAAACCAGAAACATACATAAATTGTGGTTATGAAGAGAC